AAACCTAACTATGACTCTTGCAGGGAAATGAAGTCAGAACAAAAGTTCTTAGGATGCCCTGTTTGGGACTTCTAGATCTGTGGCCAAGAATTCTACACAATTTAAGCCAGTTTGATGGAGATTTCTGATATTTCAGCTGAAAGTACTTTGACCCTCCTGAGTCATTTTCTCATCTAAGAAAATCAAATTGACCACTACATTGCAATCTTTCAAGAATTCATGATAATATACATAAAGTATTATGCATAGTCCTTGGTGCAAAGGAACTTTCAATAAATGGTATCAGGTTTGCTGGTTGCCTGGCACACTGAGTACTTGCTATTAACTTGGCTCAAAATGATCTTTGGCAAATCTTTAACAGATTTCTGATTGCTCACATTTCCATATCAGATGAGACTGGTGATATTAGTCTCCAAAGAATACTCTGTAATAGCTGAAGCAAGGATTTCAAATCTCTTTGAGGTCTTCAAAAGGCAAGGGATACGATAATGTGTTGGTATTTTATTGAATATCACACACACACACACACACAAAACACCTTAAAACAAATAAAATAGTATCAGGCTAAGAAAAGAAATTAATCTATCCCATTAAATGCTCATTTCAAAAGAACTCAGGAGAATACAACATATTAGAAACTTCCAAAATTAATTAAAATTTAGAGTGAATATAGTAAGATATATAAAAATGTATTGTGCAAGCTTGAATCATCGTTCCTTAATTTAGAAAAGTTAAAATTTGGAACTTACCAAGAGGACTAAGGCAACTAAAGAAATGAAAACCCAAAGTGATGTGGATGTAATTCTAAAATTTAAACATTTTAGATAACATTATTTTCCTACACAAAGCAACACACACAACGATAACACTAAAGAGAGAATAAAATATTGATGAAGCACACCAGCTTTAGGCATACAACCTGAATTTGAAACCTGATTTTGACACTTGTATGCTATATAACCTTGGGCAAGTTTTTTAGCCTCTCTTAGCTGGTTTTCTCATATATAAAAATAGAGATAATTAAATTTACCCCTTAGACTTAGGTTTAAATAAGATAAAATAATGTAAGCCAAGTTCTTGTACAGGTGCCAAGTGTATAGCAAACACTTAATAAAATATTTTTACTATGTTCTTATAACAAAATGAGTCCCATGGGATCCCACTGACTTCTGGTAGTCTATCATAGAACCTGGGGTTAAAACAAAACAAAACAAAACAAAACAAAAAAAACAGGCCAAATTTCAGATGGGCAAAGGAAATTTCTAGAAGATATTTCCAGCAACCCCAAAAAAAGATAGGTGACAAACACTACAAAAATCAAATCATAGGGGAATTTCTCCTTCTGGATAAGGTAGAGTAGCAGGGACTAGGTTTTACCTCCTGCCCAAAACAACTAAAAACTAACAGACAAAATACATGAAACAGTGGTTTGCAGACATTGGACATTAGGCAACTCAAGAAGGTAATCCTTGAGAAAAAGGACCCAGGCTAGTGGAGTCCCACAGTTGCCCTAGCTTACTGCTTAGATGGTTGCTAGGCCACAGCACAGGAGCAGAAGCTCAAGCAGAGTCCCGTGGTCTCTCCGAGTAGACATTATAGAATTAGTCAGGGATGCCCATGTAGATCCAGAGTGGAGAGGGCCATCTAGAGAGAAATCTCCTCTAGCCTTCAGCTGAGTATTGACCAGCACATGTGAGGAAAATGCCTAAATCTGGGAAAAGAATCACCCAGATGAAACAACTCCTCAAAGTTAAAAAGGATAGAAAAATTCACATTCTTCCCAGATAGAAAAGAAAATCTTGGGGCTCTCAGTAGGACACTCATAAGGGTATTGTCTCAGTGTGAGAAAAAATTTACCCTAGAATAAGCACTGCTATGGTTTTAAATAACACAGACTAAAAGTAATGAAAAGGAATGAACTGTTTATAAGTCACTTAATTTCACCCAGAACAAATCTTCACATATTTTTAGGAACACCAAAATATTCAACAGCCACCAAAGTAAAATTCACAGTATCTGGCATTCAATAAAAAACTCTCAGACTTTCAAAGAAGCAGGAAAATACAACTCATATTGAGGAGAAAAATCTATCAGTGGTAACAGATCCAGGAATTACACAGATGATAGAATTAATAAAAAAGGACACTGAAAGGGTAACAAGTCTATTCCATATGTTCAAGAAGGTAGAGGAGTGAACAAGCATGTTAAATGCAGACATGGAAGATATAAAAAGGCACAAATTGAACATCTACAATGTTTGAAATGAAAAACATATTGGATGGGATTGACACCAGATTAGACACTGGAAAAGAAAGTATTAGTCAAGTTGAAGATACAGGGATAGGAACTATCCAAAATGAAAGACAAAAAAAAAAAAAAAAAAAAGGAAGAATGAACAGATGACAGAGAGTCTGTGAGCTAAAGAACAAATTTCAAGAAGTTTCATGTATATTAACAGGTGTCCCTAAAAAGGGAGAAGGAAAAGGGACAGAAAGAGTATGTGGAAATAACATCTTTTCTCCATATGTAAGCAATGTATCTTTATAATATATCACTCGCATTTTTCTGATTAAAAGAAGAATGCTCTTAGAAGACTGATGACCCAGTAAGAGAAGATGGGTAAAAGAACTATTCCTGTTCATCCATCTTCAGGAAAGGAATTGTGAGTTTCACTATGGAGTCAGCCTTCTGAAGTCATATGCAAATAGGAAACCTTGAAATTACCCAGGAGAGTTAAAAATCAAAAATAAAGTAAGAAATAATCTTATTAGGTCAAGTGCTTCAGATACTTCATGTGACTCTCTGAAATTCCTTCAGTGTTTACTGGCATAACAATATATTTTCATGTCCTGTTACAAAAATAAAATGTTTTGAATGTCATAACTATACTACACATTGCATCTTAACAGTACTTCTAAGGTAGCTATTTAGGATGTGAGCAGATCTGTTATCTCTAAGATTTTCCAATTTTCCCAAAGCTTCCTGAAATTCATGGAATGATTTAGGGTGCACGACATGATGTAGTATTGAACTGGTACATTTTTTTGTAAGAAGAAACCTAGCCTCAAACAAGTCTGATTTATGGCTTAATTCAGTATTCTATACACAGAAAGTCCTCCCCCACCCCCCAAAAAAAAAGTCCTTGGCTGATTACCTGGCTGAGAGCCCACATATTTACATGCAAAAGGAAATCTTCTTTCCTGAGAGTCATGATCTATTTGCCTTTCCTTTTTGTTAGGAGAAAAAAATCAGAGACTTCAAGGACTATTATACTGTGTAATGTTAAACTCTATGTGATTGTTCATAGACTCCTTTCCAGGGATGACACAGCAGCAAGTACTATGTGCTTACATGAACATTTTTGCCTAACCCTCAGATTTAGATGAAAATTCTTTTAGAATTTTGCTATTTGGTTACATTGCCCAGGGATGCTGAACAACAAGTAAAAAATAGAATCAAGCAAACTAGTATTTCCCCTAGAAACTGGTGATATGTGGTACTATGAGCTGGAGTCCCCATTAAAGTTTCATACTGTCTAGCAGCAGTACTCAGACTTTCTATTTTCAATGCCCATGGATGTACTTCAAGTTTAAGAGCAGAAGATCAAATCCAATCCATCAACATTTAAGCAATGCTCATTATGCCCACAGATTGTTGAGTCACAGTCAGACTTGGTGGATAATCTATAAATCTATACAATGGAGTTCATAGTTTTTCTTTTTGTTTTGATCTTAGTGTGAAACTTGTAATAATTTACCATTATAGAACAAAAAGAACTGTGGCTCATGATTTATAACTCACATAGCTGATATGTTATATTATCAAAATGTACGTTCTGTTGTATTTGAGAAGGTTTAAAAAATTCTCCTTTGGAACAAAACATTATTGACACATCATTAATGGGACATGGGCAAGGTCATCCTCTGCCAAAGAGGAAATGTTAGGATATGAAATGAGGCCTCCCACAGATTTCACAACAGTCATGGATCAAGTCGGGAAAGAGACACAAAGAAAGCACATGTTCTTTTCGACCAAAGCCTTTGGTTCACAGGTGACCCTAGCTGGGAATGCTGCAACATTTCAACATGCTTTTAGGATGGCAGTACAAGTGTTGAGCAGAAAACCAACTTTAGTTATGTCTCTTGTAGAAAGGCCTACCATTTTCTCCACTTTTTTTTTTTTCTACTGAACTTTTAGTGGAACATGGGTATCATTAGGACACTGCTTCTTGATCTCACAGTGTCAGGAGAGGTTATTGAGAGGACATGACAGCCGGTTGATCCATGAGCTGGACCCTAGCAACTGGAGGCTCCTTTTCCCTCCCCGGTCCCTGGCATGTGCATTCTATTTGCCTTCCCTGATCCCAGAAGCTGCCCCAAGGACATAGCCTTGAGACAGCAATGTGGTGTTGAGACCATCTGGACAATATACATATCTGAACCTAGTTAAGGCCTCTCCATAAACTTTAAAGTTTACCAGACAAATGTGGAGATCTACTAGTCTTGCAGCCACCCAAGATGATCCCATACGCAAGGTCCCCTGCTTATTAAAATTACCATCTACCAAATCTGGAGTGGCCTTCCTCTTTCTTTGGTCTCTCGCTGTGTTCGGTGTATAGGGACTAGTTTTAGATTACACCTGGGAAGCCCCCAAGAAGTTTGTGAACTTCTGAAATTTGTATCGGTGACATTAAAGATTCTATTTTGATATTCTAGAGAAAATCTCCGAAGTTAAAAGAGGAAGTTATATGGGAAAAAACTTAAGTTCTGTGTTAATCATATGTAATTTTTATTAAACCATAGTATAAAATCTCCATATTGTATATTTAATGATTGATTTCAATATATTCTATTACTTTTACTCCTTAATCATCTATTTCCAATATCATCAAAAAGAAAAGTTTAAGGTTCTACTCCCCAGAAAACATTTTAAGAGAAGCATTTTGCTATCTATAAAATATTAGAATGTTCTATTTTTAATAATCACCGTTAGTAACATGATAGACATTACTTATACTGCTAGCAGAGTTTTAGAAACAAATTAAATCCATTAGAAGCAATAGAAAAGAACCACTTACTCATTTGCACAGAAAGAAAGATAAGTAAATTAGACTTCATGTAACTAAAAGCATGCTCCTTTTGAAAAATATTTATATATGAACTTTTAAGCAATTTATGGAGCTAATAGGTTTCATCTGCTATAGAAGAATAAAATGTGAACAAAGAATGGCATAAAAAAAAATGTCAACAACAATGAAAGGAACGAGGTACTTTGCCAAAATAAGTGACTGACAGCAGAATGGTCTTAAAAGGGAACATTGAGTAAAACAATCATCTGGCTAAGGTAAGAATTCAGAATTTTATTTGTAATTAATTCAGCATGCTGACAAGTCGGCTCCACCCCAATTTCTGCCCTCCTCATGATGGTACAAAGACAAACAGGCAAAGTAGAAATGTAGTCACTTAGTTAAGTCATCAAAGAACTTATTCAGTAGATGAAGGGATGACCTACATTAACAGGTATCATCATAATGAAGGGAGTGGTGTGAAAATGGTAATAATCAATACAACTTAAGCTTTATTTGATACTGATGTTTAAATTATTTGTCCTATTTCTCATGTAAATATATACCTTTCTTTATGAGAATTAAGTTTTGGTGTATTTTAATCTTTACCGTTTTCCTGTGAAGTCTATCAGGTCACAATGACTCCCGTTTCAGAGGTGGGCCCAAGCCACCATCCTCATGTGCTACAACCTCTCTTCAAGTGATAGTTCTTGGGGCAAAGACCATGATTTACCTTCAAATATCCTCATTTTGGTGAATCAGAATCAAGGGGACTGCTTTTTCCCCCATCATATTTCCTCTACCTAGAATCTTCTTCATTTATTAAAACCTTACTCACTTTCTAGGTTTTATTCGGCCATTACCTCTTCTCCGAAACAGAGTCCACTGAAATAGACTGAATTACTCCTGCCTCTGTTCCTCATAGTACTTTCTTCATAGCTGTCATAACAACAGTTGGTCATATGCATGTCCGTTTCCTCCTACAGGACTTGGTCACCTTTAGGTCCCTCTCACAGAGCTTGCTACAGGGGCTGGCATGAAATAGCTGTTGGATAATTTGTTTATAAAATAAACTGAATATATGACTCCACAGACACCAGGTAAGAAAAACTGGCTATTGTAACTCTTCATGCTCTTAAAACAGTTCCTGTGAGTGGGAGTGGAAAAGGCTTCAGAGGAAGGCAAGAAATTAATATAAATTATGAAGAGTGATTTAAAAATGTAAATAAAGGAGGAAAACAATTGGCCGAAATCCAGCCGGACACATCATTGCAGCTAATGACCCTAGTGAAGGTAATCAGAAGCAGGCACATTACTACCCAAAGAGGAGGATTTCATTCCTGAATCATCAAGGGTTTGCTGTAATTTCTTAGATGCACTCTTTAGGACAGGAAGGAGGATGAGAAGGATATTATTAATAGAGAGGCCTGCTTGAGAAAGAACCCCAGTGAAAACTGGCAATTCAGCAGTTCTCTCCAGGAAGGGTCTTCAAAACAGCATGCCTTTTATTATCACTCTGCTGAGAGTGGAACCGGTAGTTCTAGAGAGCAACAAGGAAATATTCATGGAGTCCCTACCTCACGCCAATCCTTTGCCAAGAGTTTTCATAGATTATTAGATAGAGTTAGATATCATGGTCCCCATTTTACAGGGAGGGAAACTGAAGATCAGGACAACTGCATGAGCTGCTGGGTTGCAAGCTTAGTGGGGAGCTTTGCTCAAACCAAGTTTTGGGGCTCTTCCTATTAGCCCTACACCCAATGCTTTTAGCATTGGGAAACACCGTTACTCACCTATGGCACTCTATTAAAACTATTACCATTTAAAGCACTATGCTTAGGCTATTTCACATTTGCTAAATTGTAATTTGAGGATTCCTTTCAAGTGAAGTTGGAGAATTCGTCTATATTCCTTAGGCATCTCATGAAAACCACGTTTAGGTAAGTTATTGTCATAGTAGTGATGGCTGACAGGTGTGTCTTTAACCGTTCTAGAGAAGGGCCAAAATCCATACAGCTTCACGTGCTCACACAGTTCAACTGCCACACTTGTGATCATCAAGCCAGAGGACAGGCGAAACTCCGTCACACCTTCAGTTCTCCAGAAAAGGGCAAGATTTCTCAGGTACTTGGGATGGAAAAATAGAACCTTCTGTCTTGCTTGAGACTCCTTTAGGGTGTCGTACACTTTGAAAGAGGCAATCGTGTTGGCCCTGAAAGAAAATGCTGGCAGAAGAAGGAACGCGTCTCCATAGGTTGCAATGTCCTCCAGAAATGTTTCTTTCTTTTTCCTTAAGTTCCCATATCTGACAAATTAAAAAAAAAAACAAAAAACAAAACAAACAAACAAAAAAACCACATCATCATCATTATAATCAAAGTAGCAGTTTGGGTTACATAAGGCTGAATTTACCACTGGCTGGACCATTGAACTATTTATATCACTGTTGTGTATAAGAGATAGGCAGTGGACTCAAGAGTTCAAGTACAAGTAAGCCTCCTATAAATATCAAAGGCTAGGTCTTCATCGATCTTTCATGGTGTCCCAAGGCTTTCATTTATATTTTCTTACTGGGCTATATCCTTACTGGACACGTATTTCTTAGATTATTTTATCTTCCAACTCAGTAAACTTTTTCTCTAAGGTAGCTTTTTGATACAGAAATACCTTCCAATTTAATAATGACTGACTTTTTCTCAAACATAGGACACTCTTTATTTTTTTTTTAATTTTATTTATTTATTTGACAGAGAGAGACACAGCGAGAGCAGGAACACAAGCAGGGGGAGTGGGAGAGGGAGAAGCAGACTCCCCGCTGAGCAGGGAGCCCGATGTGGGACTCTATCCCAGAACTCTGGGATCATGACCTGAACCAAAGGCAGCCGCTTAACAACTGAGCCACCCAGGCAACCCCTCAAACATAGGACACTCTTAAAATGTCTACACATTAAAAAAATTCACTGAGCTGTACACTGGTGATCTGTGTATCTTTTTGTATATGTGATCACAAAATAAAAGTTTCCTATAAAGAACCTAAAATATCTATATTCACACACACACACACACACACACACACACACACATTTTAAATTTCCCTTATGTATCGTGATAGTTCTGTGTGTTTGATTTAAATAATACCTTAGTAAATATAATAGTATGCATGATTGTGTCTAGAAAGTAAATTTTTGGGATGCAGGTACAATATTTCACATGATCTTAAGAGATACTAGAACTATATGAGTATATCGTGTATTTTATTAGTAATGATTATTAGTCAATTTTGATGAAAACAATGGAGTAAAACTATGGATGGGATTTTTATTAACCAGGAACATTTTGTAGTGGCTACACTGTGAAAAATGAAATATGGGAATTATTTTTTGTTAATAAACTATCCATAGTAAAAACTTTTTTTTTCTTTTTTTGGCCAAGTTCTCCTAAGACTCATTCTCTGAAGTTTCTAAATAAACTGTTCTATCAAGAAACTGCTCCCAAGATAAAAGAGTAATGCTAAAATTCTGAAAGAAAATTCTCAAAAGTAACTTCACTATTGTTAAAAAAGATGAAGAAATAAATGAGTTCTCACTTGATTAGTAATGTTAAGCTTATGACATTAGAAGTACAATTGGTTGGTATGCCTGGCTAGCTCAGTGGTAGAGCGTACAACTCTTGATTTCAGAGCTGTAAGTTCGAGCCCCACACTGGGTGTAGAGATTACTTTAAAAAATAAAGAATGAGGTCTTTAAAATAAAATAAAATGGTTTTCTTTAAAAAAAAAAAAGAGAGGTCATACCTCTTATAACCTACAACCTTGAGAGAAAGTAAAAAATTATGAATATATTCTTCTATCTTTTCCCCAAATGCCTTTCTAGTTGTGTTCCAAGTCATTCCAGCAACAAGATAGTGTTCAAACTAAGAAACATGTTAAATAATAAAACAAATGTTCTCAAACAGTTATGTAAGTTGGAGGTACTTACTTTAGTTTTATGATACTGGGATTTACAGTCACAACATTGGTTTTACTGCCAACATCTTTACTAACGTTTCCTGTGACTGGGGGGAGGTTACACCTGAAATTTGAAGAAAAAAGTATTTTCAAAATGCAACTTATAAAAAAAAGCACATACATGTACACATATAATTACTGTTATTTTATCGAAGAAAATCATGGTTGTTAAGGAGTTCTAAATTGATCTGATTTCCATTTAAAACTTCAATGAGTACTGAGCCCTTAATTGGCACTTCAACATTGCATGAAATATACAAATTTGATAAATGCTTTCAATATTAAGACCCTAAGCATATCAAAATGAGAAATGATAATTACCTTGCCTAGCTTCTGAAGAGTTCATAATCCTTTTATTAAAATTATTATTTCTATTGATTATATTCCCACAGTGGTATGATCATCAATTTACAGATTTAAAAAAAAATGAGGCATTGCAACTAAGGTTACAGAGTCTGCCAGAAGCAAAGACCAAAAAAAAAAAAAAACACCTGAAATTTCCTGATTCCCATACGGATAGTTTTTCTAGCAAATTATGTTGTTAATAAATAAAACCCTAATGTTCCTATAATGATGTTTTCATATAAATGTTCTCTTCCTCTTTTGAGTACTAATTTGTTTTTAGTACTCAAAACAAATTAAGAATTGTAATTTTGAGTAATTATATTCCTTTCACAAAAAAGGGAAAGTCGGTTATGACTCCCTAAATATTGTTTACAGAATTTCAAGTAGGCCATTGCTTTAAAGCTATACATACAAAGGGAGCTTCTCTGGGTGTGTCCTAAGGAAAGCTGTTTCAAGGTAATGTGTTCTGCAGGGACTGAAGTTGAAACAGCATTCCACACTCTATGAAACATAAAATCAAACGGACCATGTACATCTCTCATTGATAAAAAAGACATGTCAGAAAATAATTAAATACGTCACCTTGCAAAAAATAAATATCAATTACAGACAATACAGAAATGCCTGCATTAATGGACATCCTGTGATAACAAATCTACCTTCTAGTACAGTCCCAAATTCTTTTTAAAATTAAAGGTGAAGGGACAAATGAAGGGGGGGAAATCGGAGTGGGAGACGAACCATGAGAGACTGTGGACGCTGAGAAACAAACTGAGGGTTCTAGAGAGGAGGTGGTGGGGGGATGGGTTAGCCTGGTGATGGGTATTAAAGAGGGCACGTATTGAATGGAGCACTGGGTGTTATACGCAAACAATGAATCATGGAATACTATAAATAAATAAATAAATAAATAAATAAATAAATAAATAATCAAAGTTGATTTCCAATAGAGTATCGTAGGAGACTCCAAGGGGAAATATGGAGTACTGGATACATACAAGAGTTGTGGTAGTTGGTAAAACCACTCGTCACCTCTTTTTGTGCCTTACCCACTTAACTAGTAGCTCCCAAACTTTTGAAATGAAAAACAAACAATAATAAGCAGTTTCCAGACTGTTATTATCAAACTCTGAACATGTGTATTCAAAGTAAGTACGGGCTTAACATTTAAATAAATTTTAATAACCATGCCCACATCTAAGCCCTCATTTGGCCTTTCAGTCTGGAAGGCTCACTTCACAGAGAACTGTCTCGGAAACATCCCCACATCCCTGGCAGCAAAGGTAGGATCTAGAAATATGCATACTTACTGTAGAGTTCAAAATTAAGTAGTTGCTGAGATGTTTGTTTTTCTTTTTTAAACTTCAGCTTTTTTTAAAAAAAAGATTTTATTTATTTGACAGAGAGAGAGATAGCGAGAGCAGGAACACAAGCAGGGGGAGTGGGAGAGAGAGAAGCAGGTTCCCCGCGGAGCAGGGAGCCTGATGCGGGGCTCCATCCCAGGACCCTGGGATCATGACCTGAGCTGAAGGCAGACGCTTAACGACTGAGCCACCCAGGCGCCCCTAAACCTCAACTTGTATTTCGTGTGTCTGCCATAAGGTAAAATGGATGGGTAGCCATAACACTCCCCACAGATGTTTTGAGAATTTTAAGTCTATAAGAAGTCTATTACAAGAACAATTATTTAGCTTCATTATGGCTTTTTCACAGTGAGTGCTTTAACTAAATGGCCAAATCATTCAGGTATTGGTCATTTTATCATGAATCATGAGGAGCACATTCAATGACCTGCTGGACTGTCAGGTCTACTGTTCTGTCGTTACCTGTAGCAATAAAAACTTTAAATGAGATTCAAGTAAAGCAGTGGGTGGGGGAGGGGAGCTACTGACTGAAAACCCTGCTTCCTTTTCAGTTGCTATAAAGGGCAGCATTAAATCAATAAGGATCAAAGGCTCTCCTCCGATGTATGAAATCAGTGCCCCTGAAATAGGAAGAAACAGATTTCGAACTTACTTTTTAAAAAGGTGCATTTCAATTGAAATCCATCCTCACAGGGATGAATCACCTTTCCATCATATTCTGAAAGCGCGGGAACTCTGCGGCTTGGCTTATTATTAGCACAGGCCCCCAGAGAAACAAACCCCTTTGGCTTCCATGTTTGCCAGCTAGCTGCTACTGAGATATAAACACTTTAAAAGACCAGAATTTAGAAGCTCCACAATTTCTTTTTTTAATTTCAAGCCTGAAAACTAAACAATGATGTTGCATGGCAATACAAGGCTTAGGTCAGCATTTTCTCGAGTATTATCTGAGAACAAAAGTTCCTTGAAATGCTCTGTTAATGTATATATATATATTTTTTTTTTCTTTTTCTTTTTTCCAGGTGAACCTGAGAAATGTTGTTCTCCAGAGTCCTTCTGAAGGAGCCATGATATCAATACACTGAAGGCTCTGACAAGTCCTGCAGTGAAGACCCTCTTTCACCATGATTTCAAGCAGAGTTTCTGCAATGTGGCCATCACACAGTTTTATCCTTCTGGTATTAACATTCTGAGGAACTCGTGATCCATTTAACACTTCAGGAAAGGCTACCTAGATAATTTGTAGACTTAAGCAACACAGCTCAAAGGTCGAAATTTACATGGAGTATCTTTACAGCATCTCTTTAAAATATCCAACTGACCTTTGGTTTCAAGGAAACCAGTCTGACAGGGCTTACCTAAAAACGAAGTCGGATTTGTCTATTTCAGCTCCACAAAGAGACTTATTCAGAATTCCCCCGTTTCCAACCACTGCACACTGATTGTAGGGGTACTCCATGAAAGGCTGAGACTAGCAGGAGGAAGTGAAAAACTATCACAAAATAGCTTTAGTTTCAGAACCACAAACATCACCAGCTTAATTTGAGCAGCTACATTTTTTATACATGCTAAGGAAAGAAAAACAGCAAGGAATAAAAGCAGAAGTAATGATGCCATAGCATGTTGATCCATTTATGACTTACAATAAAAAAATCCTGTAATCCTGCCTTTCATTTCTCTTGAGAAGAATATAAAGTGTATCACATACCCTATCATGTAATAATCTAAAATATAATACATTTGTTTATAAAATGTAACTTAATGTATCTTACATCACATAATTAAGTACATAACATTAGACTGGCAAAATCCCACATTGGACCCTTCCAACAAACAGGAACGTTTTCAGCAAAATAGAGGAAATAAAGCAATTAGAAAGTATCATGAAATCCTCTATTCTTGGGCATAAAATGAATAGGTAATTTAGTGGAAGCTTCCTGTGCTTCTTAAATAGTTAGCCCTGCAGGCTCAGTGATGACACGAGATTTATGCCTGTCATCTCTGCAAATGACCAGCCACAGAGCTGCAGGGATGCCTACTAACTCCGTGCTGACATATTTCAAATGAATTTCCAAGGCCTGAATCTTTTATATTTCCTCCAAGGACCTGACTTGTCTACCCCCAAAAGATTTCCCCCTTTTCCCAAGTCCTTCCCAGTCTGAAACATAACTTCTCAATTCAATGGTGCACTTCTTTGCTGGTCTCTTTCCCTGATGTAATGACAGGAACCTGAGCAGCACCAAGAAGGTCCAGCTCAGACTCCACAGTGACATCGTCCTGAGTCACCTCTTTTGTCTTCAGAATTCAAGTGGAGGTCCTCAAGGGCAGAGAGTGTGTTTATGACTTTTAGCTTCCCCTCATCTTTCACCGTAGACCTTGCATGTTGTAATGTACGCAGTGGCGTTTCAATAAAGGCTTGCTAGCCCAAGGGCCTGCCCTGGAAAAAACCTCCAGTGTTGAGCTGGGACCCACTTGGACCAGGGTGTGGGAGCCAGCGGGTAAATATTCAGGAATTTTGTGAACTGTCGGGAAACCACTGGTAAATTTAAATCGGCCACCCCAGGGGTACGTAAAATTGGCCAACACTACAAATCAGGGCAGCCTACTGCCCAAAGCCAGTTTACCAGTACCAACGGCAACACCTCAGGGCCAGTGTGGTTCTGAGAAGCCCAAAGAACTGCTGAATCCCTATGACTGTTAGGTGCTCCATCTGGGAGATGCCAAACAAGCAGAGAGAACTCTGGTTCAGCACGTCTAGGTTTGTCTCTAACCATTAAGAATCATATTGTGCTTATTATACGAGAGACGCTGTTCCAAGTGCCTGACTTATTAACACATGTGATCCATATGAGCATTTTACAGACGGGAAATAAAAGCATGGGTTTAAGTAATGGCTAGCAAGTGTCAGAGCTGGGATTCAAACCCCTGAAGGAGGCCATGCTCTTATTCACTACAGTTACACAGCTTCTCACATTCAATGAATACAATGTTAATTATGTACCTTTTTCTCTTTGTATCTGCAATGCCTAGCAGAGGACCTGGCTCTGAAGTTAATGGTTCCCAAATACCTCAGGTGATTTCAAGTCTGCTGTACTTCTAGCTCAAGATGTCTTCAACCTGTGTTTACTAGATGGTGCCACGATAAATTCTGAATTTTACAGATTGGATAGAATGCAAATATACTCTTAATGGTACAGCAGAAAAGATGACTGAAGGAAACTTGTCTCCTATTAAAATAGCACTCAAAATAATGCATGTTTTCTCTGGTTTCTTGGTCAACTGGGAGGAAAAGCCCATATGCTTTGGGATCTCATGTTCAGTAAGAGTAACCTCTGAATTACAAACTCCAATGTTTCTTAAAATAAAGCTCCTAAGAAAGTGGAAAATTTGTGCTATGTTGAGCAAGGCCTGCTCATTACTCACTCTGGTGGAAAACCAACCTTGTTTTCTTTTCAAGTAACTTAGCAAAGTGTTTGGAGGAAATGACTTCACAACATTCATCAAAAATATCTATTGTGATCTGCTTGCTGCTTGCCCCACAGTTTTCTAGCAGAATAGAACAGGGGAATGCAGGAAGCAGGGCGGGAAGGAGGCCAGCTCCCTTAGATGTCTCCTCCAGAGAAACGGGAGTGTTGAAGCAACACAGAAAAGTGGCCTAGCTCTGCAACTGTTACTGAAGTCAGAATTACCTCCCCGCCCCCACCCCAATTTTGAAAAATTAGTGCAAATTTGGGAAATGGATGCTGTTGTTAATTGCGTATAAAATTATCAAACCTAGGTTATTCTTTTCAAGGTGCCAATTAGAAGCCAAAAAAATCTCGGCTGCTCCTCTGTTCTGATCAGTCTAAAGCAAGGAAAACACTAGAAAAAATTGCAAGGGTGAGAGTTGTTCATTGTGAAACTCTCCCAGGACTTCTTTGATTGGGAATATAAATATTCTGTACTTATTATCTTTTTGATTATTGGTAATTTCAATGTATCATGAGGGCATTTTTAGAATGCTTTATGAGTCATTTTACGTCCCCCTTTCCTTCCAGAAAATTTGTAATATTTTTTCTCTATCATTTTCTACTCATTTTGCAATCATTCTCAGCCAATTAGTCTTCCTTTGAATTATAACAGTAAAAGAAAAACCATAACAACTTACATGACCAATAAATTACTTAAAAGAAGTCAAAGGTCCAACAAAAGGGAATTAATTGCAAGAACTGAATAGTCTACAGTTGGTAAACTGCATATATAAGGTCATCCCATTTTTTACCATATTGACTTAGCTTAATTGCTTTTAATCAAATCATGAAAAGATGACTGAGAGTGTATGTTTATAAGCGATAGGCTGTTCTTCATGACAAAAATTCTCCCCAAGTTTAGATTTATATTAAAGAAGTTTCTTCTTGTAATGACACTGTATCATTACTCATTAGTTTATTTAATGAATATGTAATGAATGCATATATGCACTGGGGAATGTTCTGGAGCTTGGGATACATCAATAAACACACTGCACAGAAATCCCTGAACGTGAGGTTATGTTCACTGACCACAAATTCTTTTTTTTTTCTTTTTAAGATTTATGTATGTATTTTAGAGAGACAGAGCACGGGGGTGTGGTAGAGGGAGAGGGAGAGGGAGAGAGAATCTGAAGCAGACTCTGCACTGAGCCCCCGATGGGGGGCTCAATCTCATGACCCTGAGATCATGACCTGAGCTGAAACCAAGAGTCGGATGCTTAACCAACCGCACCACCCAGGCGCCCCCACGAATTCTTAACAAATTTACTTCCCAAAGATTAGCCACATAAACCCACAGTTCTTTGTGAAGGAATTGATTCAGTCACCAAAACTGACAACTGGAAGAATCTTATTCCAGGTGAAAAATGGTCCTCTTCCCAAGCCCCAGTAATTACTATGCAGAAAGCCCAAGTAGCTCATCTCATGCAAGGATGAGTCATGAAGACTCAAGGACTTGGAGAGCTTATCATGTAAGATATAAATACCATTCCCTGCAGAGCCACTTGCATTCAAAATTGTCTTTTTAAAAGGGACCACTACCACCATCTTTTACATCAAAACAACTATGGTATTTTAATTCTAAGTTCATTCCTCCATTAGTGTAAGTTACAATGTAACGTGGGAGAAAAGTCACCTGCAATGGCGACACAAATCAACCACAACAAGTCTTTACTCACCACTGGAAACATATTAAAAATGTTCTCTCTAATTAGGATTTCGTTTTTGCTTTCCACCTCATAACTCATGTTGGTTCCAGCTGGAGTGTTATTCTGAGAAACAATGAAGTTTTGAGCAGCATCACAACAGGAAGCAAGTTTTGCTCTGTGAAGGAGAAGAATAAAAGTGAACCACGGAACGAGATTAAGAAACCAGAAATAGAGGATACAGTGGAAAATGCAAGAGGATTTTTGCCATATTGACTTTCAGAAAGAAGAGAAATCGTTCACCAAGATGACATTTTTATCTCTTTCCACCCTAACTGGTCTGGATGATGGAATGATAACCCGGCAGGATCAAAAAGCGAAGAATGTGAAACATACTTACGCTCAGATAGAGACCTGCTCACCGACAGAAAACACTCATGAACATAATGGTTCACATTTAAAAATGTCCTCCTAATGATAATGTTGTAACATTTAAGAGAAAAATGACAGGATATACTGTAATTATTTTATAATAATTATAAAGTAGAGAAACTAAATTAAGAACAGTGTTACAAACTGTCACCAAAGCAACATGTAGTGATTTACTAGGAGACAAGTCTAATGAAAAGAAGAATCATTCAATACAGGGATTTGTTTCTAGCTTTACTGATATAATTCACGAACATAAATGATTTATATTTAAGGTGTTCAACTTCATGTTTTGCTAATATTTCTACATTGTGGAATAATCACCACCACAATCAAGCTAATTGACATATCCATTACCTCACATAATTATCATTGATTTCTTTTCTTTTTGTGTGTGTGTGTGGTGAGAACAGTTGATATTTACCCCTTTAGCAAATTTCAAGTATACAATATGGTATTGCTATCCACAGTCACGGCTGCTGTAAATTAACACGGGGAATTTCTGAGTGAAGCGAATTTAAAGTTGCCATTCCTTACAGAAAGAATATAATTTAGTATCAAGCTGTTTCAAAACTCTTACTGTGGAGTGAAACATTATTAATAGAATGTAGCCCCAGTTAGGTCCTCCCAGGGATCATCAGGGCTTGCCCCCAACCTCTGGCAGGTCAATCTAGATCCACTCAGAATTTATATTTTGTTTATATAATTTTCCAGGGATGCAGAATCCACAGCATCACTTGATAATTATTCCTGAGTTTAATCAACCTTGAGGTCAAGAGATCCTTCCATTTGTACAACTCAACTATCTCAACTTAAATCCATTTCCCTTGTTTGCTTTTCATAGAATCTCTCCATAAAAATACCTCATGTAATTGAAAATGGTAATAAACAAAGGGAACTTGAACCTTTTCAATCTGGAAGCATTTAGAGAAATTCCTCTTCTCTCAGATTTTCCTCCTAGGACCAGTTTTTCATTATTTTAGTCATCTTGTTCCTCTTTAAACCTTTACTTATTTCTCCATATTACTTAAAAATACCTATCAAACAGACTCTTTGCTGCAAGGGAGGTGGGTGGGGGGATGGGTTAAATGGGTGATGCGGATTAAGGAGGGCACTTGTGATGAGCACTGGGTGTTGTATCTAAGTGGTAAATCACAAAATTCTACTACTGAAACTAATACTACACTATACATTAACTAACTGGAATTTACATAAAAACTTAGAAAAAAAATATGTACCAAAGCTGGATCCAATCATAGCACAGAGGACAGTGAGTATTCAGTGAACAAGGCTGACATGGTCATTGCTGACATCCTAGATTCATAACTGGTCCTTCCCCATTTATTGGTTTTGGTCCTGAAGGGTATACTTTTGTACAAGTTCCCATTGAATTTTGTCCTTTTGACAAAAATAAAATGCTCTAATCTGTCAGGGTCATTTTGAATTATAGTCCAGTCTTTCCAAATTTCAATAATTCTCAGGGTATGAAAAGGCAATGCTGTGATGTTACTTGTACCCTAAAAATCAATATTTTCAATAATACTTATTAGTTAATTTATATCATTAAAATAGTACCTTCTTCTTAATTGAATTCTATCACCTGCTTATTATCCCTCTTTGGATTTCAGAACCTACCATGTCTTAAAGATAGTTCATGGAGGTTAACAAAAGGAAAAATTGAAAATGAAATGACGTGTATTCAAAAACATGATACTAAGTAGTTTTTTAATTATAAATTTAATCTCATAACAATTCAATGTGGCATATTTCAAATTCAGAAACCCCTGTGTGTTTATCATTTTAAATGTCTCTTTTATGCAACATTTTGAGCAAAGGTAATGGAATAAATTCTCATTTACCTTTGACAAGTAGCTCGATTTCTCTAAGGATATTCAGTGTTTAAGAGAATATTGCATCACCAAAAAACACTAACCATTGTGCCCTTTGTGTTTTTTTATATTAATAGTTATTTTCTGAAATTACATTTTTTTTAAATTTTTATTTATCTGACAGAGAGACAGCGAGAGAGGGAACACAAGCAGGGGGAGAGGGAGTGGGAGAAGCAGGCTTCCCGTGGAGCAGGGAGCCCGATGTGGGGCTCGATCCCAGGACCTTGGGATCATGACCTGAGCCTAAGGCAGATGTTTAACAACTGAGCCATCCAGGTGCCCCTGAAATTACATTCTTAACATTGTATTATAACATTCTCAAACCTACAGGAAAATGCGAAGAATTGGACAATGAGTACTTGAATAACTACCAGCTAGATTCTACAATTAAGGTTTTACATTTGCCTTACATTTGCCTGCATCCATCAATCCTTTTTCATTGTGGTGGTGATTACAAATCAAAGTCAATACAGAGATCAGTACACTTCAGTCCTAAACACCTCAACATGTATATCATCATTTTGTTTATATTTTTGGGTAAAATTTACATAAAATAAAATCATAAGCACATTTGAGGAGTGTTGAAAAATGTGCACACCCTTGTACCCCAATCTCCTAACGAGAATTCCCTCATATCCCTTCCCAGCCTGTCTCCAGCCCTCCCTACTTTTGTGATTAGTTTTTATCAAAGATCAGTTTTGCCTGTTCCAGAATCCATATAAACAGAATCATATAGTACATATGCTTTTGTGTAAGACAACTTTATCTCAGCATAAATGCTCTTACGATTCATCTATGTGTATTAGTAGTTTGCTTTTTTTCATTGCTGGAGTAGTATTTCACTGTATGGATGTGTCAGAATCTGTTTAGACATGGCCTTTGCACTTAAAAAAATCACTATCAAAAATCAATGTGAGGG